AATGGACAGTATAATGGGTGGTGAACTTCATTATTCCCAAGGCAGACTTACATGATCTGTGAAGCATACTGAGCAAGTTATTTTGTAAAGCTTACCAGCTTGTTTTGACCTCAGTCTTGCTGTGTCGACTCCTGCATTTGATTCTGTGTGCTTCAGTTAGCCATTATCTTTCCACCGGTCATTGAAAAGCTGAAGAGAGTAATGAAATACATGTTGCTAACTAAAATATTTAGTGACATTCCTTACCTCAGCAGCGTCCAGCTGCCTACTTTGGTATCTGTAAGTGACTTGGGAGAGGACAATCAAATAGTGCACATTGAGAAATCGGTATTCTCATGCGAAAATACACGAGTGGCTTAAATTATTTGTAGTATTCCTTTTGTGTGTGCACGTGTGTGCTGTGAATAGCATGTATAAACCACCACCTGCTTTACTGGAATACAAATATATGGTTCCTTGTAATTCATAACATCTCTTTTTCATATTTTATTTATTTATTTATTTAATTTATTTTATTCATAAAATATTTGCTTATACAAAAATTGAGCAGGAACGCTTAGCTAAAATTCTAGAGTATTACTAAGATTTATTTGCAGTTGTAGTATTGTTCAGGAATCAAACATTCTGTGTTATTTATTGAAACTTTGTGTTCTATGAATTGTGTGAATCATTTCCTTCTTTCTTTTTTTTTTGGGAAACATATTATGTTGTCAGAAATTCTTAATATTAGTGATTTATCATTGTGAATAGATAAGATCTTAAGAGTAGCTTTCAATTCTGACCATTAAAAGCATGTCATTACTGCGTATGATTGGAAGATCTTGTTCACTTTACCTTCGAGGATGTTTTATTTAGCATTCTCAAGGGAAAGAAAGAAATTTCCTGCAGCACTTGAAATTAAATTACAGGCTTTTGTATGTTCTACATTGAATTAAAAGCTGCTGCATTATTTGGTGTAGTCCATAAAGCGTATATAGTTTAGCAAAACTTTACGAACTCTGGTAGCTGAGAAAAAGTAAATGTGTTCAGGGTGAAGTAGTGCGGTAACAAAATAAACAGTAACCATTAATCCGACACATTTTAAGAATGTTTTTTGATAAGTGATTTAAGTTAGACTGTTAAAATATTCAGTCTGGTGTGTCAAGTCCAGAAAGCAGAAGGATCCCAACTGCGAATATGAGTGTATTAAATCGTCTTTAGTGAGCTTAACAGACAGCGGTGAATTGCGCAGGATAGGCGGAAGAAGGGCAGTTCTCAGCGTAGCTGCTTTGCTTCAGTTCCGTCCCTCGGACTGAAGAAACACTAACCGTGTCACGTTCAGCAGCTGGCTTCGGGCAGTATTGCTCTTCTGCACGGAGGGGTTAATTAGCTGTCTTTCACAGCGTGTCCTACTTGGCTTTACATTGGCAGGATTCAACTAGCCCTGGCTACACAAAGCAAAACCATTAAGAGGCGGGTGTGTCCAACGGCTTAATTAGCCAGAATAAATAGGTTCTTTGTCAAACATGCATCTGTTGCTTGTGATACACCTGACAGTCCCATTAGGCAAGGGTGGGGTGTTTTTCCTGCTGCAGCGTGCGGTTTGGTTCTTCCACTTATGTGCCGCATCGGTGAGAAAATGGAAGGACTTTGTTTAGGTTGTCAAAATGGGTTCATGTAGCTGCTTGCTATTATTTGATACCGTGTGGAAGAATTATACTGACTGCCTCATGAACATCGTGCTAGAACAGCTCCTAGTCAATAAAAAGATGGTAAGAGTTGACTTTAAACCCTATTACGTGGCTTCTGCAAGAAAAAGTCTATAATGTGTGATGAACCTGTAATAAGGAGCTGCATTTAGGATAGGGACTTAGGGCAGAAGCAAACTAAACGCTTGTTGATATTAAGTTGATAATACATTAAATTGATATTAAGTCACTGAGTTTATTTATGCTTAGGGAAAGCTGCTGGTGAAGTTTATTTTCCCCAACCATGTTTTGGGTTGGGGAAACCTAAGCAGGTTGCTTAACTGCACTGAAGCAGAGGGGAAGCGCTGTTAGAGCGGAGAGTTTCTCAGTGTTTAGCTTTTGGTTTACACTGCTCGTTCGGTCAGCTCGCCCTGTGTCAGGTACCAGCGAGCTCTGGTTTGCTCACAGGTTGCTTCTTTGACCTTAGATTTGGAAGGATTTTTGCCTGAAAGTTAAAGGTAACGGACTGGGACAAAAGAGCAAATGGTTAATGAGTTGAGGTTAAGGTTCCCTCCTGAGTAGACATATCCATGGGATTACGTTGACGCTTTCAGAAATAATTCAAATTCTTAACTGGCAGGACTGTGGCTTTGACCAGGCCACACTGTGGCTGCGCTACACTTCGTCAAATTGATTGTTTTCTAAATAATTTCACTGTCAAAAAAATTAGCCTGTGTTAAATGATACTCAGCTTGGCTTCCTAAATAGTCAGAATGTTTATCGTGAAACCTCAGACTTTAGTAAGTGAAATATCATTTACAAACTAGTTAAATGTCTTTTGCAGTTTATAATTCCCCTTAATAGCATGTTCTGTTACTTTAAGAAAGTGGATTTTGTTAGTACTTAGGTTCTTTTTTGTTACCAATGACGTGATGTTGAGCAAGGACTGAATAAACCTTGAATTACTCAAATTATAAAAAGGTGGTGTTTTTTTTTTTTTTTAAGTATAAAACTAAAATATTCGACACATTAATATTGCACTAGGAACACTGCCATTGTCTATGTCATTTTACATTTTGATGACCCCAGAAAACATTTTTGTCATATTAGGACACCTTTCGGCAGGGCTGCACCTGTCTTCAAAGTGTATAATATTATTGCTCCTATGGTTATTATGTCCATTTAGGCATATGTATACAAAGCGTAAGTTTGCTGTATGCCTTTTTTGCCTATTAAAGTTATCTAAATCTTTGATTCTGCTTGTTTAGGCTAATATATTTATACCATGGATGAGTTTGGTCTAATGAACTTAAGGAGGTCTTATATAGCATATTTTATTAACTTATCTGCAGGAACTTTAAAGGTGATTGCATACTGAAAAGCAAAGAAAATATTCTGTCTGAACTTTATTATTGAATGTTGTATGTTCTTGTTAATAGTTGAGTTAAGGGAAAAACTTACAGTTTTCAATTAGAATAGGCCGTTATGTGAAATGTGGCATTTTTCTTAGTGCTGAATAATTTTATTCTGGATAAGTATAGCATTTTCTGAGGCAAAAACAAAATATGAAATTTAGCTATTTGACAATAAGTGTATTTCTCCTGCAGACAACCCATTCATAAGTGAATTCGTAATTCTGACAATGTGACTAATCTGAAACAAGTTTGATCAGCAATTTATCAGTCTTACCCTGCCAGTTTATCTGTATAGTGATGATTAAGCAAGCAGTTGGGAATGAAGAAGAAGCTTCTGCATATGTGAGATGGTCTTGAAAGAATACAAACAAAAGCTAGTCCAAGAAGTGTCCTGAAATTTCACTATAAATAGATATCTTCTCTGATATCAATATAGTGACTCTGAGAAATCAGGTGACACTGAGAAATCAACGTGACACTGTTTCTGAGTCTGTAGAAAATATACTCATCATTTTAAGGAGTAGTTTGCTATTAACTTTCTTTCATAGAACAAAATGAAAAATTTGGGGAAGTTGACTATTGTGTAGCATTTTTAGTGTAAGAAATTATTTTAAAGTTCATGTTTCATTCATCTGGTTATAATTTTTATTTAAAAAATGTCACTTAAATCTTGGTTGGATATAGTATGTAGTTACCAACAGATATGTGCATGATATTTTTAAACTTATGTAATAATGTATTTACCTTCTTGCTTTCAGTTTTAGAAGGATGATGATGAAAAAAGCTGGATGAAATGACCAAAATTCTGCAAAAAGGAAGCAGTAGTTGGAATTCCTATAAAATATGCTGCTGTGTTGGGACTGAGGCTTCTTATGTGTTTCCTGATTTTGTAGAACAAAATAAATAGAGAGATATCCCATATGATTTCAGTATCCTGTATTTCAGAAGAAGCAGTTAAATCTGTCCATGCCATAGGGCATAGTTCCATGGAGTTTAAGAGTTTGAACCAATCAAAGTCCCAGCTGGCAAGGTCCCGCTCTTCTCCTCCTCCCGAATTTATATACTTATTTCCTATTTATTACAGGAACCTAGCTTTAAATCAAGTTTTGGAACCCAGCCTTAAGAAGAAGGTCAATTATTAGAGCTGATTTAGTAGTCAAGTAAAGAGAATTTTCTGAGGAGGATTCCAAGGATTTTGGTACCATCATGTATTCCTCCTACTTTAAATTGATATATCCCTAAACGACACATTTTGGATTGTGATTTGGTCGTGGGAAATCAAGTAATACTGAAGTTTAGGGGGTTGCTTTTTTTATTTTTCATTTTTTGAGTTTAAAGTTTAGTTTGTTCCCTATCAGTCATCCAAGTCCGTTCAGCTAAAGTAACAAATTACATCGTTAAGGCATTCTGAGTTTTTACAGATTTGTAATGGAAATCTCTTCTGGTATGGGTGATAATATTACTCATTTTTTGTGCTATTGCTCTTCAGGTTGCCAAAGTATTCTGTAGCTGTTGTAGCTTAACGGAGTTTAAGGCCAGTAAGATTTTTATATCACAGAACATTAAGATTAGAGGCTATTGATTTGTATTTTGTTGCAATCATTCTTCACAGTCTTCACAGTCTTCTTTTTTGAAGGTACCAGGTAATGAAGAATCTGCAGCCACATCTGGTTATTATTTTCGTTGGTTAATTATCCATTGCTTGCAAGAAATAAAAAAGTCTGCTTCCTGATTTTGAATTAATGTTGACTTGCTTTCCAGTCAATTATATTGATGTATCTGCTGTGCAAAACTGAGGAATCCTGTGAATCCCAGTATATACTTCCCGTGAAGGCACAAATCATCCTCGGTTGTCTTTCTGATAATAAGTTTTCTTTGTGCTAACCTTTAAATTTTACATTTTAATTTTACTCAGAGTCCACGATGCAGACACCAGAGACTGGGTCGGATACAGGTTCAACTGTGACTTTGCAGACATCTGTGGCTGGCCAGGCAGCAGTGCCCACACAGGTAGTGCAGCAAGTACCAGTTCAGCAACAGGTAGGTAGCTGGTAGTTTGGGGAAAAGAAAAAAATATGGGAAGGATAGTTTTTCACAATGCAATGAAGAATGAATTTTGTAAAAGGTTGCTAAAGGAACTCTTTTGCACTGTTTTTATCAATTTTATTTTCCTTGAATTGAAAGACCTACATAGAAAGGAAGACTGTTTTCAGGATCCGTTCTTTGAACTAGAGCACCTGGCAAGCACCGGGAGTACCTTTATATAATTCTAACAGCAGCTTATCTATGTAATAGTTCATAGAATTTACATTAATTTATGTTACTGAATATGTACATTTATTCATTTTAAAATGTGAATAATGAATATGTTTCTGATAGTATTGACAATATTATTTCTCCTTTCATTTGCACTTCCAAGTAAGTACAATATAAATGTAGCATTGAAAGCAATATTCTTTGCAGCTCTAGGCTCGATTCCTTGCAGAGTCTTGCACAATGCCAGAGAACCATTTGAGTAATGACAATATGTAATTCATTATGAGGATTTGCCGGGAAATTATGGAGACTTTCGAAGTGCCAGTTTAGTGCACAGCTCTGTCACATGAGATGGTTGATCACCTGTGCAGCACCCACAGCCTTTAGGAGGGTTGGTGGCTGAGGAGAATGGGGAAAAAATGTGGAGGTGGAAACAGGGGCTGAATCTGAATGCCTTGACCTCTGTCTAAAACTTTTCCTTAATACACAGACTTTAGCTGTCTATCTAATAGGTACTCTGGAAGCTATCTGATGTTGTTTTTCATGAAAAATTGATTGCATGGTTTCCAAATCAATAGTATGAGAACTGGAGATAATTTATTAAATCGTATGATCTGTTTCTGTGTCAGTGCAGCACTGTTCCCTGAATTAAAATTTCCAGCTTTTTATCAAGTTTAAAGTTGCACCTGGTGAGTTCTTATCCATATCCTTTGTAATGCTGTTCCGCAAACTCTTACTAATGACTTTATCCCAATGTACAGACTGAGTTTATAACGCTTCATGATTTCTTTACTACGCCTTTTGCTTATATTTCCATGTAACTTTTAGGAGGCATATTTGATTTTAAAAGACTGTAAAGCATTGAATATGATCTTCCATATTTTTTTAAATACTTATCTTCATGTATTTGCTCAAAATTCCCACTGAGTCAAGAGTTTTCTCAAATATTTTCTGGTGACTTCAGATTGTTGTATAGCACTCTCTCTTTTAATTTGGATGTTGATTAGGATAGAGCCTTTTCAAAAGTACATTAGGTTTTAAGTGAAGCTTCCATGATGCTTGAACTCAGCTAACCTTTTCTAGAAGATTTCTTCTAGTTAATTTTACTTAAACTTTTGCAAAGTAATGAAACAGTCTGGATAATTTGTCTTCTATTTATGTTCTTTTAAGATGACAGATGGTTATTTGATATGGTTTATATGATTTGTAATTTGTTATTCCTGTATTTCTACTTTTCAGATAAAAGATGGAGATTTGGTAGAGCTATGCAGATGCTGGTTTTAAGCAGATAGGATACTCATACAACAGTCTAATTGTGCATGTTGAACTTGATCCATATGAAGTACTGATCATTGTGATGGATTGAAGACTGTTAACAAGTTAGTGGCATTGGCAATCAATTCGTGGCTGGTGCAGTCTTCTATGCGTATCTGTTCTGTTTCTAAACTAACAAATGAATAATCAATAGGGCTTTGGTGTTTGTAAACTTTGCCTGTGCAAAGTTACTCATTTTCTGAAAACTTAGAGCATGGATTTGACTGTTTAGTTTTCCACATAAATAACGCATTTATCTTTGTCACTAACTGCCTGTATCTTTTTAAGTTATTGCAGTTGTCCTTTATTAATGAAAGGCTCATGCCAAAGCACAGAAATCCAGATATAGACTGTTTTTAACTTGCTTCATTAGGTCTTAATGAAAACAGGAAGCTGAAAATTTTGTATCACAGATTGTGACTTAGTAAAACTTAAAGTTCCTGGTCAACTTTACATCTCCTTTAGTGCTACTGCTTCTGAGTATTCCCCTTCATTGAATACTACATCTATATTTTGGATTATTTTTCCCTGTGGTTATGTTAGATTGTATTTTTCCAGTTGAGTTTAACTTTGAGAGTAGAAATCAGCGTACTGTTACGGAAAGAAAAGCTAGCCAAGGAAGAGGAATTTGCTGCTGTATTTTATATGGCCTGAAAAGGTAACAAGAACGTTGGAAAAGCCAATGCAGACAGCATTGCAGTGATTGTAACACACTATGCGGGAGAGAGATGTTTAGAGGGAAAAGGATAAATTATAAAAATGTTGGAAAATGACAGGACTTTTAAAAGCTCTGAATGTGTGAGGAAAAGAAAAGTGAGAGAGCATATATGAATGTGGTATGCCAGCGGGAAATGTGATGAAGAATGTGGGTGGGATGGGTGCTTTCAACAGTAGGGAAGTAAAAGGAAATATCAGGCACTGAAACAATCACTCTGTTGAGCAAATTGCAGGTGTGGTCTAACCTGAAGATTTAGCTGTGTATAGTTTACATTTGCCTGAAATTAAAATTTGACTTTATACATCAGGAGCAGACCACTTTGCCTAAACGTGAAAAGAAAAGAAGATTAAACTGTTTGCATAAAGTCATTCCATCATTTTAATGGGAGCGGGAGGGGTGGTTATTTGTGCGTGTTCAAAGTTACCCATGTTAAAAGTGGGAAGAAAATGATTTAGATGAACAACATAGAGGACATGCTTTTGTTTTTCCTATGGCTTATAAAATATATACGTAATGCCAACTACATCTAAAGTGTGAGTGTAGTCTATTAAAACAATAGGGTACTTTTTGAATTTTGTTAAATTCTAAGATACAGTGTCATACCTGTACGTGTCTTTGAATATGCAATAGTTTATCATAAGCCAAAACTTCTGTGTTTTCACATTTATAGTAATTTATTAACACTTTTTGGTGAATTATGCTGCTTTTGATGAATTTATTTTTTACTTAATATTAAAGCCATGTACAGTATTCCGTTTTTCCTAGTAAGGTCTTCATTTCCCAAACATCCATTCCCATATATGCACCATACTTAAATGAAATCTCATGCAAGTATTAATTTGGTGTTTTATTTGCGCTCACAAAATATATGCTGTGTTTTTCATAATGAAACATTTTTGCCCTGAAGAAGAGCAGACTTGATAAATGAAAGGGTACACTGGTGACCTTTTCTGCTACAGCCGTGTTTGTGCTAAAGTGTCCTTTCATATGAGCGAACAGCAAAAGAGTCGCTCTTAATATTTTCAGCTAAAATAAGTTCCTTATTAGTGTGTAGCTAGCATAAATATGTCTCTCATAAAAGTGTCATGATCCAAAATAGAAAGAAAGTACCATTAATGAAAACCTAGGATCCCCTTTAGGTAGCAGTGGCACTGATAACAGTTGGTTTTGTGCACTGCAACTGTCACTGTTGAAAAAGGATGGAGGGGAATGGTGAGGAGAGAGCCATGTCCATGTATACGTAGAAAGTAACAAGAATAAGGCCAAAAAGTCAGGAGCATAATTAAATGCTATTTTAATAGCCTGAGGAATTTTTCTAGGCTTCTGTTAGGGGGATTTTTCACTAACCTATCATTCCTTTTTTAGCACACGCTCTTTAGCATAAAGCAGCAAGCTATAAGGATTGAAAATTAACCTCACTTTATAGTTTATGCCACACAACGTAGAACGATTGAAGGAGGAAAATTAAAAATAGTTGTATAATCTATTTTAAAAAGGTATATCCATGCATCAGAAGTTGAACAAAACAAATCTTCATATTCACCACACAGCATGGCCATAGCGTTCAGAAAAAATCGTATCATTAAACTGGAGATGCAGACTTCTTGTTAATCAAAACTGGGGCTTAATGAAAAATAACGTTTAGCATATGAAAAACGTAATCATGAGCTGACAGTAGTCATTATATCAGTATGAATGTGCTGAGAATATTACAGCATGTGCTATTTATATGTTGCTTGCCAAAAGTAATCCAGACTAATTAAGGTACAAAAATGATTTTTATCCCTGAGAACAAAAAATGATGCATATCCAATTCTTTTTGCATAGGCATTACAGGCAATTGTATGTTCACTTTTAAATAGAGATTAAAAGTCCCTGTTGTTCTACTCTTTCCTCAGAACTTTTAACATAAATACTTTTATTTGAAATTAAAATTCTCTCTTCAAATTTATTTTTTGTTTAATTTCTGTATTTCAATTGAATATTTTTATTCACTTTATTTTTATTGACAGACTGTCATAGATACAATATTATCTATATCTTCGTTTATTCCTTTGAGGTAGTATACTGGAGCATAAAATTTGCTTTGCTTTTTTTTCTTCAGCTGGTAAAAATAATCAAACATGGACATCGAAATCAGTTTTCATTCTTCTCTTTTCTCCTGGAACATTTCAGCTGCTAACTTCTAAACCTACTCTAGTTATTTCAGACTAGAATCATGAAACAAGATGAAAGATACACTCTTCGATCTTGCTTAATTCGTTATTTCCTAGGCCAATCAGTTAATTTCCTGTTCTTCATCCAGACAGTAGCAACAAATTCTTAGCCCACCAGTCCACCCCCACAACGTACAATTTTTGAACTTACATACTGTCACTTTGTAAGATATAGTCCATTTTCTTTCTTGTAAAAAAATTGATAACGAATTGAAATTCATCAATGACAATTTTCATTTTTGCAGTTTTTGGTATTTAGGTTTATGGGAAATTGAACAAATCTTTTTATTCCAAATCAGAAAATGAGCACATTTGGGGATTTTTCGGTTTTCTATATAGTAGATATTTTGTTTTGATAGGGTCTATACCACTTCTTCTTGGCAATATCCTTTCAGTTCTGTGGTAAATATTTGCACTTTGCTGTATCCATTGTTTCTGAAATGGTAGCAGCCTGTATTATCCAAGAAGGCTGAGAGAACATAATAGTTGGTGTAGAATGGGAATGTGACCTGCATTTACTGACAAGAGATTATTCATTTTGTGTCTGTACATTTTATAAGTACATGTGGGCTGCAGGGAGAAAATCTCATTCCTTTTATTAATAGAAAATGGAGTGGTTTTTAATAGAGAGTAAGCTATCTGCAGTGTATGTGGAGAGAAAATGAAATGCATTTTGGAAGAGGTTGGACAGGAACATGCAGTTCCTGGAGACCCACATGGTATTGATGACGGCATCATTTCCGCAGTGTTTCCCCAGCTGTACTGCTGGGACAGAAAATGGAACATATCCGTTACACAGCAGGAGACAAATTACTGATTTTAAGAACTAACCCTGTTTTGGAGATGTTTTCTCACTGATCAAATAGATCAGTTTGGTGCTCTGTAGCAGAGTGATTAGCAGTGACTCCCTTTCTCCCATTGATTACAGCTCGTAGAACTTGAGTCACCCGGGAAGAAATACCTTCAGAGAAGGACTTGAAATTATAATAGTCTACTGCTTATAATAAAGCACATATACATTTCCACCAATTGTTGCATGAGTAGATGGTTTTGTTACAGATTAGCAAACTTGAATATTAAGAGGTATTAATTCCCAGCAAGCTAACTAGCGTAGCTTTCTTGTAGTGCATTTGGATCAGGCCCCTTCCATGGAAATACGATTTGATATAATTTAATTTATGAGTTCAAAGACTATGCAAATAAAAGTGATTTAATTATTTGAAAAGATGTTTGTGCAGTACAGCTATTTATATTATCTTTTTTGTTCAGAAAATTGTTCTAAAGTCATAATCATGATTTGCCTCAGATTGTCTAGTGCGCAGAACTGAAACTGAGAACTGAATTTTCCTGTTAAAAAGCTGAATACTATTAGAAGAGGAAATGTACGCATTGTACATTTTGTATCTACATTGTATATTATTACCTTAATAATTAGAAAACATCTTTAACATAATTTTTTTGAAGTTGAGAAATTGTAGTTCTGATATGTATGTCCATTTATGTAATGCTTCGCAATGGCAATCAGAAAATTGGTTGATTATAGTATATGGTCTAACCATCAAATTGTGCCTCAGTACTGCTGACTGACAGAAACATCTAATTTTCTGTCATGCTAGAATAGCAATTTCTTTTTTCTAGAATTAGGTTTTAATATCAAAGTAATAAATAGTTTCTGTGAAAGTCTAATGTTTCCTTTTGCAGTCTAAGGCAATACTATAAAAGAAATAGTAGGAAAAATATGTTTATTTACAGAACTTTATAGAATATAGTGAAGAGGGTAAAGGTATTACAACAAAGATGCTCTCAAAGAGCTTATGGAAATGATGCATCAGATATATGAGGCCCAGACTCATCTGGGATTATGGTGTTTGCATTTTTAGTGCCCACTGTATCAGGCTGAAGTTGTGTCACAGCAAAATATTTAAGAAAAATAGTAGCCACTGAAATATAATTTATATTAAGTCCATTTAATAAATGTGTTCATTGTTACTTTCCTGATTCAGTGCCTAAGATAAGACTGTGCAGGTGTGTGAAGTCTCTTAAGTCCTTGCACATCCTTTAGATTCTGAACTGTTACGGAGCCAAGATACGGCCTCTCTAAATGATGACAGGTGAAAGGATGGGATTCTCAATCTTTACTGTAGCAAAAGATGAAAAACTCTATAGTGCAATGTTTTCATATGCCTTCCATGCTAAGACTTCAGAGGAAATTTGCACAGCCTGGAGCTGTCCTACATACTAATTGAGTGAAAGGAGTAATAGTGTGGCTAGTGATGTGCTTTTATGAGACAGGCATGCCATCTCAGCAATATGCATGAAGATAATCCATCCCTTACTGCTTCATTTAGAAACCATACTCTTTTTATTTAGCTTATTAACATTAAAACTTCTTTCCTTGGAGTGTGTCGTATCTGCTGATATTCTGGGAAAGCGATTACTCAGTTTGGGGTTCTTGATCCTAAACTGTATATTTGGGTCAAAGCATTCCTGGAAAAGGAACCTTATAACAGTGTAATTTAACCCTGATTAAACCAGAGCTAAACAATATTGATGTGGATCTTTATTTTTAAACTTCTTGCACGTGTAAGCTGTTGTTTTAAGGTTTGTATTGTACAGATGTAAAATGAGATAAAAATCACCAGAAACTAGCATATATATGGCCAAAGGAAACTTTCCTCCTTAGTAAATGTGATTCTTAAGACCGATGTAAAACATACAGTTGTACTTCTTTCCTTCCTTTTTATGCTTTCAATTTCTTTCTGTCTTTGGCGCTTAAGGAACCTACAGTCCACAAGCATGCATCCTCAGTGGCAGGACTCCAGTTGTCATACTGCAGACTTAAAACACGGACATTGTGCAAGCACAATAGCTTTCTGTGCTATTGCTGTGCTATGGCATAGCATTCTCAGTTATTTTTTAATTGTGAGAACAGAGGTGTCCCATACGGCTTTGAAACCATTAGATGCACTGAAGCATCAGCCGCTGCTTTGATTACAGCGTCCCACATTTGTGGTGTTCTTGTTTACAGGTCCAGCAAGTGCAGACTGTGCAACAAGTACAGCATGTGTACCCAGCCCAGGTTCAGTACGTGGAAGGAAGTGACACAGTCTACACTAATGGAGCTATGTAAGTTGGCAAATGACCAGAGAATATGAATGTTCACTAAAATGTGAAGTTAAATACGCGTTTTTGGTAACATCCTACCGGGTACTGTGTTTTAAGTTGGAAGGAAAAATAATTGAATCAAAATTCTGTTAGTGTTGTCCTTTGAAATAGTTGTTCAGATAAAAAGTTGAATTCATATCAGATTTATTGAGAAAGAACTTTTGCGTAAAAGGAATTCAAGAGGTTGTTATAGTTGGACTTAGGGCAAAATTACGTGTACAGAATTCGGTTGTTTGAAAATAAAAATCTTTTAGGTTTATGGTAAGTTCAGTCCATAGGAAGTACTGTCTCACTTTGTCACAACGTAATGATCTTTGTAACAAAGAAGTCTTCATGTGGGCCTTATGCTGTCCTATCGGGAATCCTACTGGCAGATGCGTAAGATACTGCAGCAGCTGCAGTTATCGTTTACAGAAAGTAGTAATGTAATTTAATTCCAATGTTTAATGAAATGAGGTACTGCCAAAGGAATGAGGAGACGCAGAGAAAGACAAATAACATTGTCTCCTTTTGCTTCTTAGCCTCTTCTCTGCTTATTACTGTGCTTTTCTTGCTTCTCTGAATGCACTTTTCCACCATCAAGTTTCTCTCTCCATTGTACAAGTTTAGAAACAGAATAATTTAGGTTTGATGGGACTTCTGGAGGTCATCTAGTCCGATCTCTTGCTTGGACTAGGGTCGACTTTGAAATTGACTCAGACGTCAAAGTAGGATCAGGTTGCTCAGTGAGGACCTTCTCTCCCTTTTCATTTACCCACCTCTTGCCGTTTTTGGTATGTTACAAAGTTGGGGAAGGAAGAAAAATCATGTAGAAAGCTTATTTGGTGCCAGCAAGCATTTATTTATAGATAGTAATCCAGACATGATATAAAAGAGTCAGCAATATTATTTGGTTCAGAGACTTCTGATGTTAACACCTGCAGCAGGCTTTGGTCATCTCTCCTGACATATTTTGCCTAATTCATTTTGCATGTACTTTTCTCCCATAGTGGCTTGTCTGTTTTATTCTCACTTGTAAGTCCTAAGCAATCTCTCCTAAATGGATGTAATACTTCCTTTTTTTTAAGAATGATTGTTGACTGTCTAATTTAAGCTACTGTAGCAGCTGAAAGTCACTCGTAAGACTGTAAATCTGTGATCATGTGGGTTGAGCTTTGGTGTATAGAAAGTTGCTTTTGAACTAAGTTGTTTGTCTAAGTTGTTTTTGAAAAATTTCAACCAAAGACATTCAGCTGTTATAAAGGCAAACATATTTCTTTTCGCATACTTTAATAGATTTTTCTTTAGAAAGTTCTAGCACTTCCACTCTTCCAACGGGGAACTTGAATCTGAGCACTGGCATTAGCACTTCGTGTTTTATTGCAGTCTGTAAAACTTTGCCTGATTTTCTAGATCACATTTTTAAAGTAAAATATATTATTTGTTTTGCTTTATATAGATGTTAAGTAAATGGATGCTGTAACCAAATTGTCAAGCAATATAGCAACTAAGGGCAGTAAGTGAAAGGAAAAATCTGGGATAACTGCTGAGAAGATTGGGGCTGTGATCAGTTAGGCAGTGGGTGGTAGTCTTCGATAGTGCTGGTAGAAGTGATTGGGAATTGGGGAGCTGAATACCAATAGGTGGAAAGAAGAAAATATGGTGACAAACAAACAAATCTTACCAAAAAAAAAAAGGCATCTGTGAAAAAGAGCAGTTAAAAACCCCTGAGAATGGATTAACAGCCCAGGATAACTGTCTCTGTACAGAAGGTTAATCAGGAATATTTATGCCTCTGTAGCTTTGCTAAAATAACTGGTAACAATTTATTTTGTAGACAATACTTTAAAAATAGGTGGAAGGAGAAGCTTGCTGGCACAATGTAGCATATAGTGCTCTTCACAATAAATCACATCTTGAGATGGTTGATATCTTTCTGAATGCGTTACAATTTATTTTCCTTGGAATTAAGATATTTAATTTTCAACACAAGAAAAGTTTGAGTTAGTTGAGATTTCATGTGGAGAAAGTTTTCTAAAAAAAGTTAATGAGTACTAACGGTTTGTCTTTCCTAGATGACAAAGGATAATTGGAAAAATCATTATCAACCTTATAAGAAGATGAGCTGTATTATATTATGTATTTTCCTCAGCTAAATGCAATTGCTTGCATAAGCATCTTCCTCCTGAGAGTGATAAACTCTCAGAGAACAGAGAGATTTATGAGATTTATGAGATAAATCTCCTTTTATGAGATGTAAAAAACAGAATAAATTCACTACATTGCTGTTCCTGCTAAAAAAGGAGAGTTCAAGAGTTCTAATATGTCTGGTGTGAGGTCTGAAGTAGCCCATGATCACTTGGTTCTCCTAGAAGCTGATTTTTTGGGGATCACACAAAGATTGTCAGTTTTAATTAGGCTGTGCGTGCAATCTATATCTCTGCCTCTACAACTAGTACATGCGAGTCTCTCCTTTCTCTTAGGTAAGGGAGGTCGAACCTGTTCACCTGTGGGGTGAGGGTCTGCAGCTACATGTTCCTAGGTGCAGCCAGCAGCAAGGCTGAGGAGCATGTAATCCCTAGTGGGCACCCACATCAATGCACATGTACAACGTATATACATACACATACACATATGCATGGCTGGCCACAGAGATCAGGCAGACGCTCTCAGCCCTTGCTCAAACGCAAACCTTCAGTCACTCCAGCAGCTGGCACCTAGACATGGGAGCCCTCTGACCCATGGTTGTACTCCAGTTGCTAGGACTTATTTCCACTCACTCCTATCTCTCCAGTTGCTGGTCCCACAGGCACACGGGCCCTCTGACCCGTGGTCTGACTCCGGTTGCTGGCACTCAGACCTCCATACGCACAAGAGCACAGAAGAGAAAGCCCCTCACCATGAAAATAGTTAGAAAGGAATTTAATAAGCAGATAAGACAAGCTACTGATCAGGCACAGAGCATGGCCAGATAAGCATATTGACCAGCCCCATTTACCTGTGACCAGCCCCTTTTTATTCCCCACATCCCCCTAGTTTCTCACATGTGTTCCTGCTCAAATCATCTAGATCTCTCCCTTTCTCTGCCTTTGGTTCCTCCCCTAAACATCCCACATTAAGTACTGTGCAATCACAAAGTGCTGCACCTCAGCAGTGACCTCCTCAGACAGGAAAGTGCTCTGGAGAGCAAGCCCTGTTTACTCACCTTGTTTACACCCTGTTTTCACCCCTGGGCCATGGGGGCTGATGCTCTCCTGGGACAGCCCTGGAGGAGCCGGGCAGGGTGTCTGCTCCTCCAAGCAGGTAATTCAGCTTCCCCTGCCCTCTGGTCATAGTGCCTCTGTGCTCCTGTGTGCTTGGGGAGATGAGCCCTTCCCATATAACCTGACACTTTCATTTACCCCTTTTATGTTCCCATGTGAGCAGTTGACACCTGCACTTCCAGCAGCGTACAAGATACAAAACTATCCGATCACTTAGTCCTGGTAAAAATGGAAATGAATGTCACTGACTGCTTAATACCAACTTCAAGTTTTCAGGAATTTATTGCATTCTGTAGCTGAGTGCCTTTGTTAGTTTCTGCAGAATCAGTCAACGGGATGTCAAAGACTTCTGTTAACACAGCAGAATGCTCCCTGTAGCCAGTGAGCCTAATCCAGATTGTCTTTCCCCCCTATAGAAGAAGAGTTTTCCAACGATAGAAGTTGTTGTTCAGAAACAGTGTGTATAGAGAAATGCTACTTTTAGGAGCATGAGCCTTTCTAGAGACTTTGGTCTTATACATGGGGAGTGGGACCTGTCTGTCTTTGTACTTAGAATTTTTAAAGACTATATACTGTGAAATTCGTTTTCCCTGTACAAATTTATGCTTCAGATTAAGAATGGAGAAATCACATTTCTGTAAATAAAAGTCATTAAATATATGCACTGCATATTAGAATGACGTTTATTTGACAAGTGAACAAGACTGGAATTCTAGGTTGCTGACAGCTAGATTCCTTCAGAGCATAAATAATTAGTTTCATATTTACTGTTTTTATCATTACATAAGTTAGACTTTTTTAAAAAATACTGTATCCATTTCTCCTCTTTTTGCTTTGTCACTGGATTAGCTTGTTTGGAGCTATGTCAACAGGGGGTTGACTTTTTAGAATTTTCAATAGTGAACCAAAAGCTTACCGCATCCCTAAACACAGACGGTGTTGCATTCTGCTGTGATAGAAAACATAGAGGCCAACCTCCCTTGTGCTAAAATATTTAGGAAAATATCCAGACTGTAGTACATCATCTTCTGTCCACCATACTGAAATCTTTGAAAGACGAGACTCCTGGATCCTGTCAGGTTCATGATACTGTGCTGCAGCCAGTTTGTCCTCTTCCGCTCTAGGGATTCCGTATTTCTCTCTCAGAAAACAGGACTAGGTTTGTTAATGACGTGATTGACTGGAATGATCGCTGGTTTGTCTTTTGGGTTGTTTCCCTATGATTATGTTTGATTTATTTGATGACCATGCCTGAATCAAACCGTTCTTTCTAACTCGAGAGCAGTGACAGAATGTTTGCAGAATCTATGGAATCGCAATACCGCTCCAGCCAGGGAATATAAACTGTGAGAAATCTGCAATCCATAATTCGGGTGAAGACATTAATTCAGTGTACAGAGATCTTTGGAATAAAAGTTACAGCATGTCCGACAGAAGAATTATTCTTCATTTCAAAACAAAGAACACACCAGCTAGCGTTGGTTTAAGTCCATACAGGTTAGCAACCTACGATGTACATGCAATACCAAGAAGGAAACAGTTACCTGATTCTTTTGATTCTAGTAGCAGGAAGTTTGTTAGGCTTCACAGTCTCTCAGGTGTAACAGTTCTATTTTTATAGCACAAGCCTTGCCATAGATTTCATATCATGGTTTAGCTACACTTAAAGTCATTTGGTTGTATTATAATTGGAAGCATAATGATAATACAACGGGTGTA